TTGAGGCTTTGAGACTTGGTTATTAAACAGTGAAAACTACCATGTATGAATATGATAAAACTCTTCGTGAATCAACAGATTTTAACAAAATTATTAGCATTATTTTTATGATAAAATATGTAAAATAAGACAAGGTATCATCGTGAGGAAGGGAATTTCTGAACATGATAAAATTGTTTATGTATTAACGATAATAGATCTTTTATTACTTAATCGTGACAATTATATGTAACTAAATTCTTCTAATTTTTTTTAAAGTGGTTACCCGGAACCGGAACCGCCAGTTCCGGTTCCAAAATATTGAGAACCGATACAACCGGTTCCAACATCTTAGGAACCGCTGGTTCCGGTTCCGTCAAATTTAGCCGGGTACCCGCCTATGCTCACCCCTATCTGCTAGGGACGAAATTTGCAATAAAAAGAAAGTATAGGGACGGTCCGAATGCAAAACAAAAGTTAAGGACTCGACATGCAATTTTGCCCTTTTTTTTATATAAAGAAACACAACTGTCCCATGAAGGATACATTTTACACTAAACAGACAAAACATCCTGTGTTTTCATTCAAATTTGAAAAAAAACAATTCAATATCTTATCCCATCTCAATGATTTCATTGTCCAAACACTACCAAACTTTAGTGGTCATTTGGGTGATAAATTCAAATAACATACATGAATTTAAAAGTTCAATAATTTAATAAATGGCACTAACCTTAAACAGAATCCATCAAAGGTTGAAGATGCACATTAACACATCAGAAACTTTGTGCTAATTACCATTAAACAAGCATATATAAACATCTAAAGATCAAAACTTGATCATCCAATATAACTGCAAACAATTCTTGAATTGCATAAAGACATGAAGTAGAGAATCAACCAGATTGATATAACATAATCAACAGAAGTAACATGGGAGAAAACATCAAACTTCACGAACAAAACTGAGATTAAGGACCTGCCCTCCAAATATATTCATAGGATTAAGACACAAGATCTAGAATGTGACTTCCAATGTATTGTTCAATTAACAAGAAAAAAGAAAAGCTAAGAACTAATTAACCAAATGTACCTCAAAAATCTTAAGCCCATAGTAATGTCGAGGATACACTTTTGTTAGTTTATTGATCAAGCATTGGTTGGGCATTCTCTAGCAAAGTGTCCAGGTTCTCCACAATGGTAGCAGTTACCACCACCGCCACCAGACCTAAAGCCACCGCCGCCGCCGCCGCCGCCGCCACCAGATCTAGAGAAACCACGGCCGCCGCCACCACCACCACCTCCTCCTCCTGAGGTACAGTCCCTTGCCATATGCCCTTGTTCGCCACAAGTGTAGCATCCACCACCACCACCGCCGCCACCATTACCTCCACGTCCGCGAGAACAATCCCTAGCTAAATGACCAAACCCTCCGCAGTTATAACAACCGCCGCCACCGCCACCAGCTCCAGCGCCGCTACTACAATCCCTTGCGATATGCCCAACCCCACCACAGTTATAACATTCACGTCCGCCGCCACCACCGCCGCTCCGGAACCCACCGCCGTTACCATTGTTTCCCCTGAAACCGCCACCATCATTGTACCCTCCGCCTCCGCCACCACGACTAAATCCGTATCCATCGCCACCTCCTCTACGACCTCCACCACCGTATCCATCGCGATTACGGTTTCTGTCGCCGTTAGATCCATCTAAAGCGGCAACATTAACAGCTTGTTGCCGACTGTTCTTCTCAACAACTAGAAACTTGACTTTCTGACCATCCTGGAGGCTACGGTAGCCGTCAGCTTGAATCTCGGATTGATGAACAAACAGATCATCGCCGCCTTCATCTGGCTTGATAAATCCGAAACCCTTGGCTGCATGGAACCGAATCACTACCCCCGTCGATGCTTCCTCCGCCATTGGCGCCGATCGTTGAAAGCTGATAGCGAGTGTGAGATTTGTGAAGAGAGCGATGTCAATGGAACCCTAATTCACACAGGCCCTTTTTGAGTTCCCTCTGCTTTTGTGCTCTGTTTATTCACGATATTGGGTCATGCCATATCTCCCCAAAATAATATTCTTTTCCCTTTTCTTTTCTAAAATATCTTTTATTTAAAATTAATTTAACGAATTTTTATATTTTATTGAGATATGTATTTTATTTTCATTTTTTTAACCTTACATTCAAAAGATAAAATTTCATAAATGGTCATTAAGGTTTTATTTTTTTTTCTAAAATAGTCCTTATAAACTATATTTTTGCATGAATTGTCTCTTTAGAGCAAACATTGCACACCATCGGTCCTTGTGACTAAGGAGTTGTTTGGCAGAATATGAATTTTTAAAAGATCTGAATTTCTAAGAGAGTCTAAAATTTTAAGAGTTGAATGTTTAACATGTTGTTTGGTTGTGACTTCTGAACTATTGTGTTGAATTATTAAAATGACTATTTTACTATTTTGTTTTATTTTTTATTGAATTCAAGTGTTTGTTTATAAAAAACCTAATTAATTTCTTAAATAAGTATAAAAAAATATAAACACCATATAAAATCCAAATTTAGCATAAATCAAAGTTAAAACACAAATCCAAATCAAACATAAATATCTTTAAATCCATAAAAGCATACTAAAATCCAAATAAAAATCCTATAAATTTAATTTGACCCCAATAAAGTTATGTTCAATTTGTTTTTGGTCGGCAATAAAGTTATGTTCAATTTTTAATTTTTCAGCTACATTCCTCCAAGATAGTGCTTTCAAACTACTCCCTTCCCGTCCATTGACCGTAACTTCATGTAAACAAGCTTCTAGAAACGTTTTCTCTACACCTTCAACCTTCCAACTAATCATATCATTTGTTTCCCCCATTTCTTTGATCAATTCAACAAACAAATGCATGTTTTAGCAACAATTTAAGCATTGCAAATGCACATTTTCAGCAACAATTTAAGCAACACAAAGGCACATTTTCAACAACAATTTCAACAAAAAAAATACAAAATTCAGCAACAGTTTCAACAAAAAAAAATGCACAATTCAACAAGCTTCTAGAAACGTTTTCTCTACACCTTCAACCTTCCAACTAATCATATCATTCGTTTCCCCCATTTCTTTGATCAATTCAACAAACAAATGCATGTTTTAGCAACAATTAAAACATTGCAAATGCACATTTTCAGCAACAATTTAAGCAACACAAATGCACATTTTCAACAACAATTTCAACAAAAAAATACAAAATTCAGCAACAGTTTTAACAAAAAAATGCACAATTCAATAACAATTTCAACAAAAAAAATGCACAAGTCAGCAAAACTAATGCATATTTCATGATAAACAGTAAGAACATATATGATTTGAGCATAACATCAAACACAAATCTGATTTCAACTTCAACATTTTAGCATAACATTAACAACAAATCTGATTTCAACATTTCAGCATAACACAAATCTGATTTTAGCAAATCATACCAATTCTTTACAAATATCATATCTATTGAACACATAATAATCGAACATAAAAACAGAAAACAGATTTGAACATAAAAAATCGACAAAATCAGAAAAAAAAAATTCCGATTTAAACAAAAAAAACGAAAAAATCATCGATTTTGAACTCGAGTTTGAAGAGAATTCGATTTTCAGATGAAGAAAAGAAAGTTGAATTCATTTATTTCAGACCAACCCATTCACAAAAACAGAAAAAAATCGAGTTTCGGGGGGAAAGAAGGAAGAAACGAACCTGGTTTGTCGGAGTCGGAGGAGGCGCTGTTGCAGGCGGCGTCGTCGGAGGCGGTGGTGTTGGGGTGTGACGGCGTCGTCAGAGGATAGGTGGTGAAGGGAAGAAGAATGACGCAAGGAAGATGGAGGAGAAGAGGAGGCGTTGTGTTTTTGTGAAGGTCGGTCCTTTAGGGCACAATAGGAAACACGTGTCTTTTTTTAAAATTCATACTTTGTTTAATATATGAAAAATTAAGAGGTATTTACAACTTTAAGAGGTAAAAAATAAGATGTAAACAAACAATCTGAATCTGAATATTTAATACATTGCCTCTTAATTTTGCAATTAAGAGGTAAACAAACAGGGTCTAACATTGTTAGTTTCTGTTAAATATAATATGAATAGATTATAATCATTATATTGCCCCTATTTTATTTAATTATTAACCAGTAAAAATCTCTCTCTCTCTCTCTCTCTCTCTCTCTCTCTCTCTCTCTCTCTCTCCCCCCTCTCTCCATAGCCCCAATTACCACCTCATAAATTAGTTGCTTCACCTAGGGGCACCATATTGTCTCATATTGGTTAGTTTCCTTTCTGATAATTTGCTTAGGTGTACCTTTGCCTACCATGTGCTATTTTTTATTTTTGTCGATGTGCGTGTTTGTATGTAGTAGTAACAAAGAACTCAATCATCACCACCTTTTTTCGTAAAATCAAATTAGGGATCAAACAAGCCATCTATGAAGAACTCGACCTTGCAAACGATGATGAAGAACTCAAATTCCATCTTTTCTCTACCATTTTCTTTGCTAAAAAAACATAATAAAATCTTTTGATTTCAGAACAAGAACAATCACAATTTCCATCCGATTTAACCATCCTGAACCTTCAAAACATCATCCCCAACTTTTGATTTTCGATTTCAAGCATCAGGACTTTGTTATATTGATTTTGAGTTCATCTTGTATTTGGATCTAAAGTCGATGTCGGAGTTTGATCGGATATTACATACGAGTGGAAATCGTGTTGCCTGAGACCTGCATCTAAGTCTCTTCATATCTCACTCTCATTTCATCTTTATCGGATGT